TCTCTCTCTCTCTCTCTCTCTCTCTCTCTCTCTCTCTCTCTCTCTCTCTCTCTCTCGCGCGCGCGCTCTCATTTTCTCGCTCATCGAGTATCCATCTTTCAAATCCGTATCACCCTGGACCACCCCCTACTTTCTCACCTTTCTTACCCCTGTTGCGAATATTCCCACCCACCCGTTGATTCCCGCTTTTTCTCTACCCCTCGTTGGACTACCCCTGTCATACAACCCTCCACCTCCCGATTTGATTGCGCACCCCTTTCCTCATAGGACATATGGATGGTAGTGACTTATATTACATTGTACCCCTACCATGTCTGAAGGTCCCCTACCCCCAATTTTGAACTTCGTAATGCAAGATGGAGCTTGTAGCAAGACAGCAGCAGGACAGGAAGGGCGGAGCGAACAGTGGGGGAGGAGAGAGGAGAGAGGAGAGAGGAGAGAGGATCAGAGTGGAGGAGCGGAGAGAGCGGAGAGGAGCAGAGAAGAGCAGAGAGGCGAGGGGATTAAATGTGGAGGATGATTTGTTAGATTAAAACATGATCCTGGCAGACAGATATGAACACAGAAAAATGAAGAATATAAGATAGTGTGCTGAGTATACAAACAGAAATGATTTGTAGAAGGATGGCTTTTGAACCAGACAATAGAAAGGAAAGGCGAATTGCACTTCAAGTACTCCGTTTCAGAATGCTGACTTTGTGTAGATGAAGAAACAGACGAAGCTGAGGAAGGGGTCTAAAGTGGAGGTGGAAGCAGAGGGAGAATGGTGGGAAGCCGAGGTCATCGACATCAACGCAAACTTCGTTCACATCCACTACGTCGGAGGTAAAGGAACTTGGAGGTCAATGCAAGCAGTTTGAACGACCAATCTCTAGGAATGGATGAGGAGAATGAATGGCTGGATGTAGAATCACATCGGATACGAGCTCCGCAAGCAGGTGCGTTGACGTTGTTGGCTTTTACTCCTCAATCTCCCTCACCAACTGCGTAGTTTCATACCAAGAGGAAATGGAGGAAGTCGGTGGCAACTTTCCTGTAGACATGGAGCTGGAAGATGTAGATGTGCTGCCTGTTGACATAGAAGAGCACGATTCCTCCCAATCACTGTCGGGGAATTCTTCTTCAAAGACGTGATAACATATGAGAACATATTTCAAGACTCACCATCTACTTTGCAGCAAACCTGTCAAGGGTCCGAACAAGGCATCGAAAAAGAACAAGCAGGCCGGGCTGAGGTGCTGTGCTGAGAGATATAAGCCAGATGTAAGCATGACAAGCTTCCCTAGATTCACACCTTCAAGAAAAGGAAGCGCTCCCAAGGTGAATTCGAACCCTCCTTACGATGTTGGATGTTGAATTGTTGTCTTCAGTTGTCGTGGATCGACAGGCTAGGGGAAGGTGAAAGAGGAAGTTTGCTTGCAAAGATCTGTCGTTGAGCTATTGGATCTCACAGGCTGGGACAGAGTGCCAAAAGACGAGAAAGGGTGAAGCTTGTAACCTGACTTGATTCGCTCTGACCTTGTTTGCTCCCAGGCGCTACGTCTACATCTCTCCCGACGGGCAAACCTTTCAATCCCTTACTCTTGCTCAACAAGTCATTTCGTTTCTGGAGATTGTTTCTTTCTGAAGTTTCTGTCAGTATGCTGAGTCTTCGATGCAAATCCCTGTCAATGAAGCAGTGGTAGATCCATATATACCGAAGGTTTGTGTCGACAACTTTGCTATCGGCATCAATAACTTTCCGTGAAGGTGAGGAAGAAGTCTGGTGGATCTTTTGGGAAAGCGTTTCTGCGAGATTTTGAAGAGAAATGGTACCAGAAGAGGTATATGAGTAACGATCAAATTTTGAAGCACCGCTGATGTTTGTGACAGATATGATGATGTGAGGAAGTGCCTTCTTCGACGGAACATCATTGCGGAGAGTGATACAGTGAGATCATCGCTCATTGTTCACAGAGACATCTCATCGTTAACTCGGTCGTCTATTCCTCAGGTTCGAAACAGCAATGCATATCTGGCTACGGTATGTTCCCCCTGTTCCCACTCTATTTCTCGCGCTTGTCCTGATTGGCTCCCTCTTCTTCTTCTCGCAAAGCTTGCTGCTATTCTTCATCATAGCTTGGATCTGCATCTGGGCCGGCAAGCCAGAGTAGCGAAGAGGTGAAGACACGTGCTGTGCCATTGCTCCCCCACCCACCCACCCACCCCCATTGTGTCGCTCTTGTTCATCCTATTTCAACATGCCCTCTCCTCCTTCTCCTCCATTCCTCCCTTTGTCTCCACTGTCTCTGGTTTTCCTTTCTCGTCTTGATCTGCTCCACGTGCAGAGATTTGATGGCGAAGCTTCCGAATCGACTGTTCAAAGACTTCCGGGAGAATGGAGCACTCTGTCTCATGCTCTCCATGGCGAGTGAGGGAGTTGAATGAAACCACTCTGACGAACCTTCAGGTCATCGACTACATGAAGAAGAAGACTTGGGACGAGGCTGATTTCAAGAAAGCGATGTTTTCCCAAGAGGTTGACCAGTCTGAACTTTCGGTCCTCTCCATTTTAATGGCGGACACGCAGAGCAAAGACGATTTTGCTCACATCTCGCTATTGATGAGCATCAGACAGAACGTATGTCTCTTGATTGCATGCTTGTGGTTCTCACTGCGAATTGCTCCAGCTCATTGACGCTGGGCACCTTCGGTTCCCTGTGATCTACTTCTCTCCGAACCTCAAGCTGTCTGCCAATGTGACGACGAGCTGTAAGATCGGAGGTCCGCCTGAGCGTCATGGCAGGAGGTATCGAAGCTGAAAGCGATTGCGCAAAAGAGAGGAGCAAAGCTGACGTCAGACCTGCGGGCTGCTACTCATCAGGTAGAGGAGGAGGCTGTAGCTCCCTCCTGAGATATCGCTGAACTGCTGCTCAAAGATCATCGACGACACTCCTGACATGAAGGAGACTGAGGAGACGTTCTGTCGACAGGTTGATGGAGGAGCGAGACACTGACATGCTGAGATGCTCTACAGCTTGACCGCCAGAAGACGAAGAAGGAGCCGATCGCCTACGTGCACTGGTGGTTCTACCCCGACAGCTACGACGAGTGGGTTCCCCAGCGAGAGGTGGAAGGAGACATGTGCGCGACTTCCGTCAGAAAGTTCTGGAAGGTTTGCGTGAGGTGGCTGAAAGACACAGACAAGGTACGCGGAGGACGTTTGCTGGACAGACGTAAACTTCGTTGCAGTTCAACGAGTGGATGAACGAGGATGATTACCTTCCAGAGGACCCGGAGGATGAAGTAGCGGAGATGGTGGACTCTGTGTTACATGTCCCGATGCCTAAAGGGGATTGCAGGGGGAGAAGTCGAGATGGACGGAGGAGGAGGATGCTGTCTTGCTCAGCGAGTTCTCAAAGGTCTTGAGCTTGAGGGGTTGGCGAGGATGTAATGTCGTGGCCTGCAGCTGGGAAAGAAGTGGGAGGAGATTGCCAGGAAGCTTCCGAACAGAAGTGTAAGCGCGCTGAAGCTGAGGATCAAAACTCTGGCGAAGAAGCTGGAGTCGAAGTCCAGAAGGCCGAGCAGCGAGTTCAGCTCACCGTCAAAGAAGAAGAAAGTGGAGCAGGAGGTGTCGCCGTCGAAGAAGAAACGGGCCGAACAGGAAGAGATGACCAAGTCGAAGAAGAAACTGATCCGTGAGAAGTATGCCTGTCCTGCATGCCAGAGGCTGACTAGACGGCAGAGCGCGTGCTCTCCCTCCAGCATGAGTGCTGGGAGGATCAGCAGGACCTGGAGGCTTCCTACAGGGCAGAACCCCAGCTCTGGGACCTGCCAGCGTTCGACCCTGACGCCGAGCTGGAGCTCTGCGGAGAGGGCACGACAATCCATGGGGAGGCAGCACAGAGCCAGGTGAAGGAGGAGAAGACCAATCCCCTCATCCTGCCGATGCAAGCGTCCTGGTTCGACATGGGCGCGATCCATGAGATGGAGAGGGTCGGGGTGCCTGAGTACTTCGAGGGGAAGCACCCGAGCAAGACACCAGAGGTGAGGAGGAGGAGGAGGAGGAGGAGGAGGAGGAACTGAGGTCAATCAGGCGTACAAGTGGCACCGCGACGCCATCGTGACGTTGTGGTGCGAATATCTCGCGGGCTATTTCTCCCACAGCATCAGCAACGACCGAGGAGACGAGGATGGAGGGGAGGAGGTGGAGGCACGGACTCGATCGAGAGCAGGAGGAAAGAGGAGGTCGAGCGTGACGAAGGGGGGCAAGTCGAAGGGCAAGGCCGACAAGCAGGACCTCCAGTCTCGGTTCTCCTCCGACAGCCCGCTCAGGTGGCCACCCAAGTTACACGTCAGGGAATTCCTGCGTCGCATCCCCGGGCACGCTACCGACATCCTTCGCATCTTCCAGTTCCTTGAATCCCTCGGCATCATCAACCACACATGCCAGGAGGAAGACAGCCCTGGACCCCTGTGGACCGAGAGGGACTTGCAGAGGCTGGAGGAGGCGTACAGAAAGCACGGGCCGAAGTGGGCCCTGATAGGGAAGGAGCTCAACGACCGACCTGCCGCTGACTGCGCCATCTTCTTCAGCTCCATCCCCCTGCACGAGACGCCGTTTGCGTCCTCGCTCCGGTCGGAGAGGATGCGGTTGAAGGACGGGGAAAGGTCTTCTCTCGACGGGGACTTGGTTGCACAGAGAGCACATTTCCTCCAGAACCTGCTGGGCCCTGAAGCCACCGCTGCAGTGATCGACAACGTGCTGCAGGAGGAGCGGCAAGGAGGGGAGAAGGAGCAGGGAGAGAGAGCGGAGCAGGGAGGGCACATGGAGCAGAGAGAAAAGAAAGAACAAGGAGGGGAGCATCAGCAAGTGTGGAGGATGCAGACACAGGCATGCCGCGCCGCCCTCCTCACTTCCACCAGGGTCTGCCAAAGTTCGGAGAGGGCAGGAGCTGGTCTGACTTTCGTCGCAGGTCCGTGCGATGGTGCTGGCGCACGAGGAGACGATGAGGATGAAGAAGCTGCTGCTGGAGGCGATCGAGCTTCAGATGCAGCGCATGCAGATGAAGGTTACGAGCCTGATGAGTCAGCAGAGCATCATCAGTCAAGTCATGTGATACCATCAGCTCCACCTCCCCTGTAATATTCTTGTACACAAGTGAAGAGAGCATGAATCTCAGTCTGTCCATCCTTTCACAGTTCAGTTGCCGTCGTACACGCCAATTTGAAAACCACCTAGACAGTATAGAGATGTGTCCTCATTGTCCTCGTACTGATTTTTAACTTAACTTTGAGTAAAGCGCGGATGTGTCGGGGTCCAAGGCTTGCGAAGTGTCGACCGTAAAATTCAATCAACAAATTTCAATAAAAATAGACCGCAAGGTATTTGTAAAGTGGGCTCGAAACCCAGAACTTTAAAATGACCCCACCCTGTGTACCTAGTGTCATTCTGAGGACCCACCCCTAGTGTTACACTTGTCAATTGAATTTGGGGTAGCCTCCTACCCCCTTTCCCCTACCATTATCCGGGGGAAACACCCCTCCTTCATAGGGATAATGATGGGTACTGTCTCTTTGGCAATGGCGGCGGGAAGGGATGGTACATTTTAGATATACCCCGGGGCTGTAGGGGGTATGGTAGCCAAGGGATTTTGACTTTTCTACAAAATCATTCTCAAATTTCAATTTTTCTTTAGATATTTGAGCGATCTTGAAGCGTGCCAGCGACGGAAGAAAACGACCAGGAAAAAAAGATTTTAGTTTAAAACTGTTGTACGGAATTTTTTCTTGGTACCTCACCCACCCCCACCCCATGACCAATGAGTTGAACTGAGTCCCCCATTGTTGTGTACCCTGATACTGCTTATCTGACTACCCCACCCTCATCGGCGAAACTGTCTAGTGAGTCCTCAAACCTTTTAAAATGGTCCTTTCACCACATCCCAATACTCAATGACAACCCGTACTTTATAGTGACCACCACCTACCCATTGCCCTCGTGACTACCCCTCATCAGCTTTTGGCCGAGTCCGAGGACTACCCGACCCCTGGTATAGTCGTGTAAGCGAAACAAAAAAAGTAGGTTTGACCTACCCCACCATCTTTTTACTTTCGCAGCCTCCCTAGGGTCCCTAGGTGATATCTTTGGGTACCACCCACATTCCCCCAGTCAACTAAACGGGTATCTTGTCCCCCCCTGGCAACTTGTGCAGGCATCAAGTACCCCACCCCCCAGCTTCGGGATCGCTCGAGTCCCGCCCTCCATGTCCTCCCGGGTACCTCATGGCAAACGCTATCCACAAGAAGTGTACTTCACTCTCCACCCCCCCCATTTAGCTGAAAAAGTACCCGTGCCTGAGCCCCATCCTCGTTATTACCTTATCCCACGTCACCCGTTACCTACCCTACCCTACCTCATGCTCCTCCTTCCTTGATATTGCAATACCAACTCACCCTCCACCCACCACCGAGCAGTCATATTTAATGACTACCCCTTCTATATCTACATACTACCCTGGGTCTTCCCCACTATTCCGAACAATACTTGCATCTACCCCTTGTAATGGTACCCCCCACCCCCACTGAATCTTGACTTTCGTTCTCCCCCACCCCCCATGGAACGTTTTGAACCTTTCACCACCCCACCGCCTGGTACCCGATCCTGACGGAGTTTGACGCAACCTCGCATCGAGGCCCCCTCCTCTCCCCCGTCACAGGCTCTACTTCCTTTGTTCCGCCTTCTATCTCCTCTTCCTCCCTTGACTGAGTGCTAATCAATCCTGCAACCGCGCACGTCACATCCCTTGAATCTTTCCCGCCCAGCAGCTTCAATCTTCTCTCTTTAAACTCATCTGGTCACACTTACAGGAGTTGGGTAGTACGATTCCTTCCGACAAGGAACAGAAATACTCGAGATGGATAATGCAGCTTTCCAAGCCCTGCTTTCTGTATGTCTGGAAGAAGCAAGCTCAAAGGAAGGAAATTCTCCCTCCAAGCGACTGAAAACTCTTGCCGGTGTTGAAATGAAAGCACAAGCACGCCAGTTGTCTCCTGGAAAAGATGTTGGTCGCGCAAACTCCACATCCAAGCGTAACAGCGAGGACAAGGTGGATAGCATCGGGCAAATATCTCAGACTCCAAGTGAATCAGGGGGAAAGGTGAAGGAATCATGCACGACAGCACCTCCACATTTGCCAAAGTTCAATGTTGTATTTCCTGGACTTGTCAAACCAAAGCCGGATGAGCAAGCAAAGTCTAACTCACATAGCATGGCGGCACATCGAGACGATAGTTTTGTACCAGCAGAGATGAGAAAGGATTCATTTCTTGAACAGCATCTGAAGATGGTGCACCACATGGAAAATCGTTCATCTTCAACATCCAGCGAAGATGAGAAAGAAAGACCAAAAGTTGATTCGGAGCGGACAAGCAGCAGTTCCTCGGATAGCGATAAGAAAAAAACAAAGAGTGGCAAGGGGGAGGAGCGAAGGCCCTGGGCGTATGAGGAGGATGCTACAATTCTCCGTTTCGTTCTGAAATTCGGGATCAAAGACTGGACTATGATCGGAACTCAGGTTCCCAATCGTACGCCGAAACAATGCAGGGAGAGGTACAAGAATCAGCTCGATCCTTTCATCAACCGAGGCCCATGGACGGATGCGGAAGATGACCTGATCATCAAAGCGCACAAAATTCACGGAAACAAGTGGACTGCGATTGCGAAGCTCATTCCAGGCCGCACAGACAACGCTATCAAGAATCACTGGAATTCCACCTTGCAGAGAAAAATGATCGGGAAGACCTCGAATGGTGGCTCCTCCAATGCAGATGCTCTCAAACGCAAGTATGCTTCGTTTCGTGGTTACGCACAACCAGAGGAGCTTAGGGGAAACAAGAGGAGCAGGATAGCAACCCAGCGACACCAAGAGCTCCTGACCCCCTCGACAATTGAGAACCACGTGAAGCACTTCAAGAAACTCGAAAGGCTCCTCTCCCCAAAAGCTGTCGCGCCACCTTTTGATATCCCTGACCGTCCAGGCCCCAAACCTCCATGCATGGGTGATCGAGAGTTATCCAGCATGGATTCGAACTCAGACAAGTCGAAAACAAAGTCAGGCGCCAACTTGCCCAGCACAGGTGATCCCCCTCTTTGCTCTCGACAATTCCAACTCTGAAACTGCAAAACTGACAGGTCGAAGCAAGTCTGTACTTCTAACAGCAACCGGGGGCAAGCAGCCCATGCCTGTGAAGCCCATGCCAATCTATGCGAAAGCCGTCTTAGCATGATTCTACGACCAGTGCCGCAGTGCCTGCATTGCCGGGCAAAAGATGTTTGAAAGTAATAAACTGACGGACTCTGTGAAATGGTTGGTCCGACACTGGCTCTGGGCCACCGCCCGGGACTCGCCCGGCGGCGGGACCGGCGCCGCCACCGGCCGGGTCTCACTGAGTCCGCTTGACGAAGCTTGGCTCAGCGGCACTGAGAAAACTTGATGATCCGAGTCGGATCTCAGCCCGGAGTGCGGGCCGCGCGCCGGCCGAGCTTTCAGGCCCGGGTCACGGCCAGGACTTGCCGAGTCAACTTGATGACTGGCCCCTTGACCCTAAACGGTCACTCTCAGTGCAGGATATCACCAAAGGGGGCCCAAAATTATTACAAAATAATTATGGTGAATAGGTGAAATTTCAAATTTGTAAGGGCAACTTTTCACAAAGAACATTCTAAAAGTCGGCTAAGTTTGGTTCGAAGATTGGAAGGGGGTGGGGTACTGAGCTTCTGTTTGCGATGAAGTATTAGTGATGGGCCAAGGAGCAGGGAGCAGCGCAGAATGGGCAAGAGAAGCAGGAGGGGGAGCAGAGGCAAGTAGAGCAGAGGGGGGAGAGGAGGAGGAGGACGAAGAAAAGCGATGGGGTGAATTTAGGAGCAGGTTAAGCAAAAGCAGGAGGAGCAGAGGTGATAGCAGCATTCGGGAAAGAGCAAGAGCACCTCAGAAAGGATAGTCTCTCCGAGCTAAGAAAACGTGCTAACATCGTCTGACCGGAGGAAAATGTTACTGACGGCATGGTTTCATTGATTTTGTCAATAATGTGATGGTACATGGTCGATAAGATCTATCTCACAGGAGGATACACAGTTGGCTGGTCTTCAAAGAAAGTAACGGTTGTGATTTGGATTGATAAGGTTGATTTTATTCGCCAATACAGCATTGGACTGACTTTAAATCAGAATGAGCCTCATTTGGAACAAAAGCACCCCGTCGTCTCCGAAACGCTCCCTTCCTTCATCTCCCAACGGCAAAAACTTTCTTGGTAGAAACAATTCTTTGAAGCATCATGTCGATCAAGTGAGTAAGCTTCCTGTTCTTGTTTCGACACCTTCTCGATGCTCTGTGCCTGTATAAGTGAATTCTGATATCAAGTGTTTTTATTTCTCCCTGCTCAAGGACAAGGCAGTCAGGAAAACTTGATTGCTCTTGATATGTTCGTATCTATTCCCAAATTGTTTGCTGATTTAACTCTCGTACTTGCCATCTTCCTCCTCGCATCCCTCCTCCCTTCATCTTCGTCTCTTGCTCACAACTGCAACAGCTGAGGGTCGACCTGGTTTCCGAGATCGACTCCGGCCATGTCGTCGTGATGCATCCGGCAAAGTCAGCTGCCCTCATCGTCGACAAGAAAGTAGCAGCATGCAGGTTAGCAGCAGCTCTCTTGCTCACCCTCCTGGCAGGCAGAACATCAGATGATGCGACTGTTGGACGTCGAGGAGAAGGAGGAGGACATGAGGCGAGCTGTCTTGACTGCTCTCAGACGTTGACTGAGCCGAGCAGGAGGAAGGAGCAGCTGCTGTGCCTGGAGAAGCTTGAGGAGTACAATGAGAAGCTGAATCGGCAGGAGCAGGTGAGGAGGAGGGGAAGGCTGCGTTGAGGATGTGACTGCCCAGGAGCAGCTCGACTTCATGAACCGTTTGGAGCAGCTCAAGAAGCTCTCGATCGAGGGATGCTCGCAAGGGAGTTCTCCAAGTACAGGAAGGTAAGGATTGGTATGATGACAATGATGACTAGAACTACTGTGATGACGAAATTCAATGATCTTAGAGAAGAAGAAGAAGATGATGATGATGATGATGCTCAGGAGACTTGTATGCTAATCCTTCCTGTGGCAGCATAGCGGAAATCTTCCAGCCGAGCAGCTGCGGCGCAGGCAGGGAAGAGACGGGCAAGTGGTTCGTTTAGAGAAATTGGCAGGAGAGAATTGCAAGGAAATAAGGAGATGCGGGGGAGGAGAAGGGGGTCGGAGGACGAGCGAGGAGAGGGGAGGGAGGAGAATTTGGGGAAGGGGATGACAGATGAACATTTAATTGAATTAATTCATGATTAAGATCTGGTGGAAGGGATAAGATATTTGTGAATAGACAATGTTAGACATAAATAACATGATGTAAAAGAGTCAGCTCGAGAAGTGTCTTCGAAACGGATGTGGCTCCTCTAGCCTCTCCATGCCGATGTTCTGGACCATCCCCCTCCTGTGAACGCTGCTGCTGTGACTGGGCCCGTCCTCCTGTGCCCCGCTTCTGACTTTTGCCTCCCTCCTCTCCATACCTGCCTTGACTCCCTCCCTCCTTGCTGCACTGCTTTCCTCCTTGGGGTAGACATCCGGAAAGAGATCAGCCAGGAACTTTTTAGAGTGAGGCGAGAGCTTTGCGTTGGGACTCCTCCTCCTCCTTCTCCTCCTCGAGGCTCCTCTGTCCTCCTGTTCGGAACTCCGGAAGGTCGGAAGCATCCATGAATCTTCTGCGGTCATGAGATGGTTCTGGCGTTCGTGTGAGTGAACGACAAAGTGGGCATGGAAGGACAAAGATGAAGAAATGGAGGACGATGAAGCAAAAGAAGGGTGGATAGGATAGGCACAGCTCAAGGGAGAGTATGATGGAACGAAGGAGGGGAGGAGAAAAGCAAAAAGAACGACACGAAAAGAGGATGGCACGAGTGGTATCAATGAAGGTTTGTACCTCTAAGACTCTCATGTCCGCTTCCGATCGCTTCAAGACGATGTCGCTGCTCGCCTGCAGGAACGTCGGCCGATCCTCCTGCTTGGTACTTCGACCTCTCTCCTTCTTCCTCGCCGAAGGATTGTTGAGAATGGGGAAGGAGGAGAGGATGACGGTGGGAGATGTGGAGCCTGATCGACGATGATTGGAGGCAGGGAGGGACTCGATAATCTCCTGCATCCTCGTCGTGATTTTCTTGTCAAGTGCCTCAGAATCTTCTTTCATCGTCTTCACGCTCGTCTGCAAGGTCTCAACCTTGTCGTTGAGACGATCCTGCGGCAAGTGAGCGAAACTACCAGCATGGCAAGAGAGCTTGCAGTCAGGCAGGCAGGCAAGGAGGCAGAGGGACATGGAGGAAGGGCAAGCAAGCTGAGGATGCGGAGGAGCGGGGGACACCGGGGGAAGGGGGAGTACAGGGAGAGAGGAAAAGGAGGAGTAGAACGAGGAGGAGGGGCAGGGGAGCACCTGACTATCCTTGAGGAGGTTGATGGCCTTGAGAATTTCTGCGGAGTTGTCTTGACTCGAACATTCGTTCTGCCTCTCTACAACCGAGAAGTTGTGAATATTTCTTGCATAGTTCACGCTCTCCCTCTTCCTCCCCAGGTCAAATCCTGCATTCTTGGTCCTCTCAAAACGAACTCGCCGCAGGATTTTCCCATACAGCTGAACCCAGCGAAGGATGGAGATATTGTCTGCCCCAAGACTGCGCAGCTTCTCTCTCATCTTCTTCTCGTTCTTGGCAAAGTCGTCGATCTGAATGATCAGATCGGAAGGAGTCTTGCGGAGGATCACGAGGAAGTCCTCGCGATGGAGCGCAAGGAGCTCCACAAAGTCGAGAGCATGGAAAGTCGCTGGAAGACCTTGCTCGGTCTGCCACGTCACGTCGTCGTACAGAGCGAACTGACCGAAGCAATCTCCAGGGTTGAGGGTTGAGAGGGTGGGCCCGTCTAGATTCAGATCCACCCGGACCGTTCCTCGCTGGATCTGCAGCAGCCGGTCTGCTTTCTCCGTCATCCTCGCCACCGGGAGGTCCCGAGCATGCGTCTCCACCCTCATCGCCATGAAGAGCTGCACCAGGAAGGAGCTTTTGCTCTCGTGCACGATGCTCATGAACACAGGAATCCTGTTGAGGATGTTCTGGTGCAGGTGCTGCCCGATCTGCATCTGCAAGCCCACGGGGAGCAGCGAGATGGACTTGGACTGAGCCTCGAATGCCTGACGTGACGAGCAGTCCTGTAATAAGTAGCTCAGGAGCACTCGCTCGAGAGCTGGAGACGTCTCCTTGGACCGAAGGAAGCTCTTGACCTCCTGCGACAGCCTGAGCCTGTCCCTTGCAAATCTGTTTATGTGCGACATCGAGCTCTGAACCTCTCCGATGAGCATGCCAAAGATGATGCTGCCAAGGAACATGATCAAGATAATCACCAGCCTCTCTGCCGTGTTTTCCGCTGCAATGTCGCCGAAGCCGACAGTCGTGAAGACTGTGCTGATGAAGTAGGCGGAGATGATGTACTTCTGCGCCAGAGACGGATCGTCGTCTAGCCCATGATGGTTCAACCACAGATGATATTCCTCCTCGGTTGAGAACGTCTCCTTGATCAGCCAGTAGAGGCAGCTGCAGAGATGGACCATCACAAAAATGAGGATGAAGAGCTTGACCATGGTGGTGATGAGCGGAGGAGGGCGGAGGATGGACTCTAGGATGTCAAGAGCGCCCACCAGCTTGCTTGTCTTCATCACCCTGAGCATCTTGAAGATCCTCAGAGGCTTCAAGACGCGGATGAACTTGAGGGAGTTGCTGTTCGAGTTGCTTGCTTTCCCGATGTAGCATGATTGCAGCGAGACGTACTCGATAATTGAGACAGGGATCGAAGTGCAGAGGTCGAAGAACAAAGTCCCCCTGAGATATTCCTGCCACACCACCACCAGCCTGTCTCGATACACTCCTTGCACGGAAACACCAACAAACAAGTTGCAGACGATCTCGAACACTGTAGAGTGTGTCATGACATGCAACGGGCACTTCCCTCCTCCTCTCACTGAAGAAACAATCCACAATCATGTCCAAGTCAAGCGTCGGCATCCTATAGCAATCCTCAACATTCCAGAAGAATCCGATCGTTACCTGTCACAGTATCGTCAGCCCTCCTCCCCAGCTCCTATCATGCGAAACCGGAGTCGTGACTCCTACATAGAGCAAGAAGAAGGAGGAGGTTGCGGTCATGAACTGTCCGAAAGGGGAGAAGGGATGGATCAGGCGGGATCCTGGTTGTCCCAGTCTCTGCAGGAAGGCAAGGATCAGCCTGTTGCAACCTCAGCTTCCGCGCCATACCGGCGGTCCGATCCCAAAGATTTTTCGCTTCCATTCCGCTATGATTGAGTGCTTCTTCCCGCCTCTCTGCAAGATTGCATCAAAACGTGAAATGCGTGACGATGACGGATGACCTTTGGTCCCTTCAGGACAAGTGCTGAGAGCTTCGGGGACACATCAACACGCTCCTGAGATCCTTGATCCTGAGAAACTGACCCGTCTTGTTCCCCTTCCGTCTCAGTAGCATCAGAATGCGAGTAAGTTATCTCCGCCTTCAATTGGTCTGACGGGTAGTCCGCATGCTCTGCTGCAGGATGCCCGTCCTCCTCAACACCTTGCACATGATGCCCGTTCTGCAAGTCAGCCCGAGCCGTTGCCTTCATGCCTCTGAAACAGCTGAATTCTCCCTCCTCGCTTTCCTTCAGAAATTAGAGATTGCGACGGTACAAGCTATCATTTCTGTATTCGACATCTGTCAGAACAACATCAAAGTCGAAATTCTATATTCTTGTCATTCAGGTACTTTCTTGCCCCTACAAACTGCTCCTCCAATCCATCTCACATTGAATCTACCACTCTCCTCTTCTCTTTCCCTCACAGCATCTCTCTCTCCTCCCTTTCATCTTCCCTTTCCCTCTTGCCTCCCTTCTTCTGTTGTATCCTGCCATCTCCTGACGATCCATGCGCTGCCGGTGGTCCATATTTTCCATGATAAAATTCCAACCCCTCGGCCATGTAACCATGGTCATGGGTTGATCAGTCCACCCCCACCCCCTTCATCCTACACAACTTATACGACAATACCCCATCAATAACACTACTTTCGTAATCAAATGCAGAGGTGGGTGGTACCACTACCCTCGTGTTTCCTCCCAGGGTACACCTGACCACCCCTCCGTCATCAAAATCCCTCGCTACTCCACTGCTTCCTGCCATGACCCCCCATTATACAGCATTACCCTCTTTTCTACTTCAAAGTACCCACCATTTTCTCATTGCAGGCATCACTCTTTCTCCAAGTACCCCTCCTTGTCCTTTGTGCTTCTAGTCAAAATTATTGACTTTGTAACCCCTACCCCCGATTTCTACTTCATAAATAGGGTACTCAGACAACGGTACCTTTTCTTTTTTTAGGGTCCTTCGTATTCACCCCTGTCATATCTATTTCTGTACACCACCCCACAGTATTCCCAGAAACCTGTCCTTGAGTGTACCGGTCCGTGAATGACCTACCCCTCACGGTACATTCCTGGTGCCACGGCCACCGACTCCTGCGTGATTCGGTCGAACTGGGTAGGGTACATGAACACGGCCCGAAGATTACCGTTGAAAGGCCCTTACAATGTGGTCAAATGAGGGGTGGGGTACCCAAAAGGAGGGGTCCCGAAAGGTTGGCAGGTTTGTGGGGAAGGGGGTTCTGGATTCGGCATCCCGAGGAAAACAAGCATTAGCTAATTGACTTTGCAATCAATCTTTCCGAACTGATGAAGTTTCGAGAGTAGTTGAACGACACTGAGGGCACGCAGTTCACTTTGCATTCATTCTTTAGTACGACAGGTTCACTCTACTTGTTTGCTTTCTCCTCCTCTACATCCATCTTCTTGTTTGAAGGAGATCCAGAGCCAGATCTACCACTCCGCGATGTCTTCGGCTCCTCCTCCTCCTCCCGGGCCTCCTCCTCCTCCTCCTCCTCCTCCTCCTTCATAACACAATCGCTCACAGCTGGTTTCGACATGCCTTCCTCCTCCCCCTGATCCTCTACCTTCTCCCCATCCAGTGCTTGAGAATCAGGACGATTTTCGGCTCCATCCACAACCTGCCAGGCGAGCGACGTCAATCGAGAGCAGAGGAGCGTTATCAAACGTCACCATATCGCCGTCCTGGACATTTTCCCTCCTGGTTGGACTGAAGTAAGGGAAGTTGGTAACGCAGTCTCGGCCGAAGATGGCTAGCGCGATTTTGTCGTAAGCTCTGCAGCTCAGCGTCAGGCCCTGCACTGTAGCAGAGGAGCAACGAGTAGACAGGTTCCACCCCACCTTGCAGCCTGTACTGCATGGTTGAACACCCCGGCCACGAGCTTCCTGGGCCGCGCCGTTCCTCCAAGGTTCTCTCCCACGTAGATGCAAGCTTCCCAATCTCCCTTCGTCGTCCTCTCAACCCCGAGGTACTTCCCATGCAGCATCTGCAGCTCCACGTGCGTTGCCTCCTGGCTGCCCGACCAGGCCTGCGCTAGAGTGTGAGCAGTGTGCTCTGGCTCCACCATCTTGGTGCGAGAAGCAGCCAGCAGCTCCTCAGTGATAGGGAAGTTCGTCTTGGCTCGCTCTCGATTGATGGCAACCACAGCTCGATCGTATGCCAGGGCAGCAGCCTTCGCCGACTTGAAGAACCCTAGGTGCTGTGTCCTCTTCTGACCGTTCTCTCCCTTCCTCAGAGTCGCTCGCCATGGACCGTCGTCCTTCCTCCACACCCCGAGGTACATCGCCTTGCGTATCTTGTTGGCTTCGCTCGAGTCCTCTGCCTCATTCAGCTGTCGCTTTCTCCTCTTGATCGCCTGCTGGCCGTCCCAGACAACCTCGTTGTCCTCCGACAGATCACTTTCCGATCCCGACATGATGTCGGAGTCTGTGATGGCCTCTGACTCGAGCATATGTCGGATATCCGCTTCATCCCTCTCCTCGTCGTGCGGGAAGTTCGTCACTGCTCGACTTCCCTTCAGATAGATTGCCGCGCGATCGTAAGCCATGGCGGCGTCGACTGCATTCTCAAAGATCCCTAGTCGGTACCGGCACTTACCGCTGCCGTTCTTGCGAAAGTTCCAGATGCAAGACTTGTACTTGCCCGAAGGAAGCTTCCATACCCCGACGTACTTGGTGGGATGGGTCAGCTCCCCGCATCGTGCCTTGTAGAGGGTCTTGCAGAGGAGAGCGAGGGCCGACGAGTCTTCCATTTGATCGTACTCTTGGCTCTGATCGAAATCGTCCCCGTCATTCTCCTCCTGCTGGCCCACTAGTGCTCGGTTGGACACATTGTTGAGCAGAAACGCTCCGAAGCGGAGGTCCGGGTCATCGTAGTTTGGAGAGCTGAACTTGGAGATCTCGTTCCCTTCCTGGTCGAAAACTCTGGTCTGTGGCATTTGCCCACGGCCTCCTCTCCCTCCTCTTCCTCCTCGCCCTCGTCCTCTCGTCTGCCGTCTTGGACGATTGGACACGTTCACATTCTTCGACATGTTTCCTTGCGCATCTGCCTTGGACTGTTCCGCCGAGTGATGTCGGGAGCCCGCAGGCTTCTGAGCAGCAGCCTGAGCTCCTTGACCAACCATGAACTGGGTTGCCTGACAGATACATGTTATATTTCATTAAGCAGCGAGCACCTCTCAACCTGGCCGTAGACTACGAATGATCCTCCCGGCTGCTGGATTAGTACGGGTTGGACCGCTTGTCCCCCAACCTGCTAGTCATTTGAGTCTGTAAGATTGGATTCGGACTCGGTGGCTATGGGAGAGGTAGGAGATAAGAAAGGAGTGTGGTGGTGGATATTGCATATTCGGCCTCCTGATGAGTACTCGTCACCTGAGCGTGAAGATTTCTTCCATCGGCAACGCTGATCAAATTCAAGTTCAGTTGAAACAAAGGATTGAACGAAGACCACCTGCTGCCGTTAGCTGATGAAATGGCCGTTGCATCTGAAACAACATATCTGTTTTAGCAAGGATTCCAACTTCCACCTTCATATCTGCTATGCACCTTTGCACTCATGATCTCTCGATGCCGGTTCGGTAGAAGACTTCTTAGGATCACTGCTGGACACAGGTTCGATCGTAGATGTTTCTCCCGCATGCGATTTGGAATCTCCGTTTCCTTGATTTGCCTTCTTCTGAGGAAGATGAACTCAATGTCTCACGAGGAGAACAGAAGGAACCAACATGAACTGGTTGTGGGGGCAAACCCATTGGAAGAGCTCTAAACTGATTTGTTTGCCCGGGGACGTAGAACAAGACTTGCTGTTGCGGGGCTGATGTTCCAGTCGGCAGATAGTAGACAACCTGTGAAGACTAAACGATGTCATTGGCAGGTGAATAGACTCACTTGTGGGGTTTGTGTGCAATTTGAAGCCTAGAGTGCGAGACGCTTATGTGAGCGAACTCAAGTGAAATCCTTCAGAAAAACCTGCTGTGCTTGGCTGGAACTGCTGCTGTTCAACACTTGAAGGTTTTGCCCTACTTGCAGAAACTGGCAGAGCAAGAATGTCAATTTGAGAGCTCTATGAGACTTCTTTCAGCGATCATACCTGTCCGTTGGGGTAGAAGATGTGAACAGGACCACCACCTCCGCCTGAGCCCTGAGGGCAAGAGTCACTTCACTCCATCGGGAGCAAATAGGCTGTAGCCAATCACCGGGAAGCTTGCGATAGATTGCTGAAGTTGTTGAGCAACATTCTTCAGAATGTTCCCGTTGACCTCCTCGCTGTTTCCTGTTTCCCCTTGCGATGTGGGAGGGGCTTCTTTCTCCTCGACTGTTTCGTTCCTGGCAATCTCTGCATCTAATGCTGCTTTGAGCAAGAGAGATAGTGTCATGATTTCAAATCGAGCATCGTGTCTCCCTAATACCTTCCATGTTTTCAACCGAGCCTTGCGCTAAACTATCAACAAGTTTGCGCGTGGCGGGCGAAAGGTTCCCCTCAGAGCTCTCAGACAACTGTGCGAGGAGACTGAGGAGACATCACACCTCATCCTTTTGATTCACCTGCCGCACACCGAGGCGAGGGGTCGACAAGGCTGCCGAGGCTTCACTTCGCTCGTCCGCCATGGTTTCATCTGTGCAGAAGCTTGTTAAGAGTGGCAACAACCCTGACTTGATCGTTCCACCTTCTTCAGTCTTTGGCGCGTCTCCATTTTCCTTGCTTTGGGAAGAAGGGTTGTCTTCGTTTGAGGCCTTGGTTTCGCTGCCCTGTTTTGCTCCCGGCTCCTCAGCCGCAGGGGCCTCCTTTGCCGGCTCTCTCTCAACCTCTTCTGGAGCATCATGAGGAGTGCCCTGCTTGCTTGTTTCCAACTTCTCCTTGGATTCCGTCTCAGTCATCACAGGGGACAACTTGAAAGGCTCTTCGTTCATAGCGCTGTCACAACCCGAAGCCATCTCTGGACCGTTGCAACCGCACTTATTACATCACACAGGCGCCGCGATCAGAGGGCACAACCCGCCATGGCGCAACACGTTGAAGCAACGTAGCCCTGCAAAGTGAAACCAATCAGATGCTCCCCCAAGGCGACACTCGGCAGGAAGGGGACCAACCCCCCTCAAATGACCAGCACATACATCTGCAACCACATTCGCAAACATGCTCGGTACGTGAGGCCTCGCATCCTTCGGCTGTAGGCATCTCCCCTCAAAGCTTCTCCTCTTCTCCTCGCTTGTCCCTCTGCCTTCATCTCCTCTCCTCCTCCCCACCTCTCCCTTCCTTCTCTCCCGCCTCTGCCGCGCACATTTTTTCTGGAACCCTCATCCCCGCTCTGAATCGGTCTAAAAGCAAGCTTGACCCGGTGAAGCTCAGACTCGGGACTGCCGGGACCTGAACTTACTAAAAATACCGTGATGGCCCTCAGTGATGATCATCATGTAGGGGACTTTTGTAAGAACTCGGATAAGTTCTTGAAGACGGCGAGAAGTTCAGGGTATTGCGTCTCATCGGTGGACGAAGCTCAGCGAGATGGAAGTGGGCTTTGACATAGGTCTGGAATTAAGGAATCGACGAGCCTGAGGGTCAGGCAGTGAAAAGGGGGTTAGGAGGACACGTGTCCAGGGCGGTGTGCATTGTAATTGGGCTGGAAGGGACCGTGAAGGGAAGGTGACTGCTGTGAATAAAGCCGAGGTGTTGGCGGTGTTCAACGGTTGTGTGGTTCTTCTGAGAGTTCTATCACCATCAGTGAAGGTGTTAGAGACAGCACAGCTGTGTATCGTTGAGGTGAATAAGGTTGGTGTAAGGATCTCAGGTGTACTGAGAGTTAGTCTTTGGTGGATCTTGGGTTAAATAGATTCTCAGGGCCAGTGAGGTGGAGGTTGATTCGCCGCTGATTAACTTTGAACTTCCGCAACTGAAGGCTACTAGGCTGGAGGCCGCGGATGGCATGGGTTAATCCTGGACTTCAGCATGGCCTATCTTCCCATCAGCGGCCGGGCGGCCAGCACTGATGGACTCTTGCAGGACGATGCGCTGCGCTTTCAAGTATCCGACTTGCAAACGTATCCGGTCCAGGATCTTTCGTCAGCTCAAGGCCTCCAAGAATAGGTTTGGTTCTCGCTGTCTTTTCTCTTCTCGCCGGCGCCGTTTGGCTCAGGGTCAAGCCTTCTCGACTCTCCTGATTGTCCTCGTACTGATCTTTAATTTGTCACTCACGGGCCCTGTTCAGCAGCAAGGCTTGAAGGTCGAGGCCCGGCGGCCGGGTCGGGCCGCCCGCGACCGGTCCGTGAACTTGTCTGGTCTCCGAGTGACTGCTTCAAGCACTGTCAAGTTCCGAGTCACCAGTCTAGCGGCGGCCCGGGCCTGGGCTGCCGGGGCCCAGGCGGCCGGCGGTGCCGGACCGGAGTCTGCGTCGGACTCTCGACGTGGATCCCTGCTTCCAGTCAGGCTTCCAGTTCCATGGTGGGGAAGTAACAGGATGCCGAGGGTGTCGCGCCGACAAGATAAGCAGGAGGAGGAGGAGGAGGAAGCAACAGTTGTGATAGACTCTGATTCAGAGGAAGAGGCTCGAATCAAAAGGAAGAGACGCCGAAAACCTCAAGGGAGAGCTGCTGAGGACGAGGATCCTGGAGAAGGAGGAGGAGGGAGAATCAGAACCCAGAGGTCAAATGAAACTCGCAAACCAACTAGGTGCTGCTGAACTCTATCCTGATCAAGGCCTTATGATCGTGCTGACTCCTTGATAGTGGTAAAGGGCGCCAGCGAACGCTTGTATTCTCCAGAGGTGGGCATGCTACTGAAGACTTCGAGGCGGAAGGTAAACGTTTCAAATCTTCTGGTTGTAAGCATCCTGATTCCTGTTGCTCCTCACAGCACGAACCAGCAAACATGCTCCCATCACGAACATGTGGGCAGATCATTTCTCTCCCGGTAACATGCAAGAGCTCTCTATCAACTCAGCCAAGATATCTGAATTCAGCACATGGCTTGACCGGAGCATGGAGTGTCTGCGAGCGGGCCACAAGCTCTTCAACAAGATTTTAGTGTTACGAGGGCCGAGTGGATGTGGAAAGTCATCGTTAGTCCGGTTGATGGCCAGCCAGAAGGGCCTCAAGGTCGTCGAGTGGAAGAGCAAGCCAACGATCTCCTATGATCGAGTGCAGAGTTTGGAGATAGAGTATGAGTCAGAGCTGGACAACCTAGTGCGCTTCTTGCGTTCAAGTCGACAGTTGTCGAATTCAATCATCACGTTCGACAACGAAGGAGAGTCGGGGATCGATCATGCGGGCGTACTCATTCTCCTCGACGAGGTCCCTTACATGCACATGGAGCATCAAAGGAGTCGGCTGAGGGCAGAGCTCGTTCAGTTCTTCAATCATGTTAGGTGTCTTCTGGTTGTCACTCACACAGATCATCAGTCAAACGAACGAGGTCTTGCTGCCTGGCCGCAATGCATCTTTGGCCTCCCGGGTGTTCAAGTCATTCAGATGAATCCGATAGCCAAGACTTTCTTGAAGAAGGGTATAGAAAGAATCATGAGTGCTGCTCGTGTTGGTTCAGAAAAGAGTGTAGTTGACTCAGTTGTACAGTGGGCTGATGGTGATATGCGCAGTGCAATCAATTCGCTCCAGGTGATATGCGCTGGTGGGAGGCGAAATCGGGCACATTCGAGACCACTGTCAGTCGCTGATTCAGCTGGGTATGGTAGAGAATCTTCTCATACATTTTTTCACGCGTTAGGGAAAATTCTCCACAAGAAGTCAAGCCCGACTCAGAATCCCTCAGAGGCATCACAGGACGAGGTGAATCCTAACAAGGGCACGGAGATAGCAGCCGGCACAGGAAACCTGGAAGAGGTGGTGGAGAAAGCAGGATTGACTGAGAAGATTCTGTTGGATTATCTCTTTGAAAATTTTCCCACCTTCTACAGTGAGATTGAAGACATAGCGGAAGCCTGCTGCTACTTGTCGGAAGCGGAGCTCGTTGCCTCGTCTTGGAATCCCAGCGACAACCCCTATCACAATGACAACATGAGCGGGAAGGCGGCGACAAATGCTAGTCGATGCGCTGTCTCAATATCTTGCCGGGCCATCCCACTTTGCAACAAGCACGCAGTGAAAGCGAAATTTGTTCCTCTTTGCAAGCCAACCATGTTTTCTGTCGAGAATTATGCAAACCGCATGAAGAGCGAGGTGGTTCGAGCCTTCTCGACGGCAAGGACAGATGACCTCGTCAACATGCTGCCTCTCCATCCCCTACGCTTTGCTTCGTACAGGACCGACGTTGGGCTGACTGCTATTCAGAGATCGTGTCTGCAGGAGTTGACATCGTTCACGTTGCAGAACGGACAAGCAAGCAGCAAGTACAAGCGTCCCTCACGAGAGATGCTCAAAGAGGGTTTCGACGAACCCATTGTACCTTGTATTATAGAACCGCAGGCGGGTCAACCAGGTGGGTCAAATTTACACATATCCCACAACAATGATTTTGACAAGAGCACTTCGCAGATAGTCAGAGCGATGCAAGGGTGGAGAGTTTGCGATTCAAGTCTCAGGCGGCCCTCATTGAAGACCAGATCGAAGACTTCAGTGACTAAAGTGCTTCTCACCATCGTTCACCCACTTATCCATGCTAGCCAACCTTCTCATCTCTCTGAATATGTAAATTCATTCTTCAACAACCTAGTTGAATCAAATACTACGGTCTCTCGGAGCAAGACAACAGCACTCCCGATCCAAATATCTTCATCAATTAACAGGACGGAATAATGCCAGGAGTGTTGGTGTTCGCAGGATGCTGCTTGTACACCTGATCACCAGGATTAGAAACATTGTCTCGCAAGACTTCTCCGGCGACGACCTGACAGTAAAAGGCATCCTTGGGGATGTCACCTGCCCCAGAGGTCACTGAAAGATCAACAACGAGCAAGAAGAGAAATTCATCAGAGAAAATATGAAGCAACGTCCTAGTTCTTACAGTTTTTCTCCTCGTCAGTGGGAGTCCAGGTGGGCATCCATCTAGAACAAAGTTCATCCATGATCAGGGTTCTTCCAAGAGACGAGGGTATCACCCAGGCATGGCTCCATCCACAAGATCGCATGCTTGGCTGCTCAGGGACTGAAGGATGAGCGAGTTCTGTCCGAACGAGTCCTTCAGCTCAATAAACTTCCTAGCGTTATCTGTAGCTGAATGTGAGCTGGAAAACAACTGCATTTTGCGTTGTCATTTTCTTTTTCCATCACGGTCTCTCCATGAATCCCACTAGAAGATGGGATATAGACAGGTTCAGCTGTACAAGCAAGAGCACTCATTGTGGATAAGTGGCAGGAGGGTGGCAGGCACAAAGAAAGGAGGAAGAGGGGGTGGAGGAGCATCAGGAGCAAGGGATCAGGTGCAGGAGGAACAGCGGCATAAACAGGAGAGTTCAGGAGCAGGAGGAGGAGCAGCAGGAGCAGCAGGAGCAGCAGGAGCAGCAGGAGCAGCAGGAGCAGGAACATCGTTGTCGCTCACCGAACATTGCCGCAATTACAGCAGCAGTCAATGGCGTGGGGGTATATGGACCATTTTCACGGGGTGGGGGTAGAATTTTTTTTGGTTCAAGTAGGGGTTGAAAGCCCAGTAAATATGCGGGTATATCACAGGGTAGGGGTATGTATCGTTGGCGGGAGGGGTAGGGGTAAGATTTTTTGAGTAGGGGTTCTTTGAAGAGTCAAGATGGGGGTGGGGGTGCATTTGGCCGCATTGCAAGTTTGATCAGGCTCCTCCGACAACAGGTGCCCCTGCCCCTGCTCCTGCTCCTGCTCCTGCTCCTGCCTGCCCCTGCCCCTGCTCCTGCTCCTGCTCCTGCTCCTGCCTGCTCCTGCTCCTGCTCCTGCTCCTGCCCCTGCCTGCTCCTGCCCCTGCCTGCTCCTGCTCCTGCTCCTGCTCCTGCATCTGCTCCTGCCTGCTCCTGCTCTTGCTACTGCTCCTGCTCCTGCTCCTGCTCCTGCTCCTGCCCCTGCCTGCCCCTGCCCCTGCCTGCTCCTGCTCCTGCTCCTGCTCCTGCTCCTGCTCCTGCCTGCCCCTGCCCCTGCCCCTGCCTGCTCCTAGCATCCTGCTCCTGCACCTGCACCTGCATCTGCTCCTGCTCCTGCACCTGCACCTGCATCTGCTCCTGCCCCTGCCCCTGTTCCTGCTCCTGCTCCTGCTCCTGCCCCTGCCTGCTCCTGCTCCTGCTCCTGCTGCTGCTGCTGCTCCTGCTGCTGCTGCTGCTGCTGCTCCTGCCCCTGCTCCTGCTCCTGCATCTGCTCCTGCCCCTGCCCCTGCTCCTGCTCCTGCCCCTGCTCCTGCATCTGCATCTGCTCCTGCTCCTGCTCCTGCATCTGCATCTGCATCTGCACCTGCACCTGCATCTGCTCCTGCTCCTGCTTCTGGCGCTCCCGTGCTAGGTGCACCCCTGGCGCTGCCGCTGCACCTACCGATGCCGCTGCCCCTACTTCTGCACCTGTTCCTGCCTGCCCCTGCTCCTGCTCCTGCTCCTGCTCCTGGTCTTGGTTTTGCATCGGCCCCTGCTCTCACCCCAACATGCTGTCCTGGTCCTCGTCTTGGTCCTGCTCTCACCCCTGCTCCTGCCCCTACTTCTGCCCCTGCTCCTGCTCCTGCTCCTCCCTCAATGAAACAACTATGGCAATCTTATACTGTTTTTCCTCGCACATTCTTCAAGTGGTACTTACATGAATCTACTTCCATTGTTCCACCAAGAATTGAACACTTGTAACATGGAATTGAACACTTGTAATTGATTATAAGTCTGAGATCAACATGATGCTGAAGTTTCTAGTTACGACAAGTAACAAGATGTGAAAGTCCATTCCCGAATAGTGATGTAGAAGATCACGTAACTAGATAATGATAGAGGTAGTAGTCTTACACTCAATCCACAAAGGACGTAAGATTTTCGCCCCTATGTGGTTTACTGAAAGTGTCTCTGTATTCCATTCGCTTCCACATCCTTATTTTCCTACAAACGCATCTAGTCTCTTTTGATCGTTCATTATCATCGAGTGGTAAGTTGAAACGTTCTCTATGTGTATCGAACTATTGAACATTCAAACATTGTGCTTATTCGATCTTTCTACAGTGCAGCATCGCCTTTTCCACCGCAAGAACATCACAGATGGCTTTCTTCGCCAACAGAGATGTTTCTTTCTGTCTGCAATTGATCACAACTATCGTCTTGCTTGGAGGTCCTTGTCAGGTGCTCAGTTTCCGCGACGGGAATCCGAATTATCAGATCCCCCCCGCTAGCTCTGACCTAAACGGAAAGCGAGGGTTGTCTCCTACGGAGTTCAAAGCTTTCCTGATGCAGAAGGAGAGGGCGGCTAGGAATCGTCTGACCTTGCGAGGAGGGCACTCTACCACCATCTTTGAGCAAGCCATCGATGGCCACGGTTTGTTCACAGCTCATGTGCAGGTGTTGAAAGACGAGAGGGGAGTTCGGCTGGTGTGCTCGGCGCCGGAGAGAGGGTTAGAGATGCACTGGGGTGTGGTGGTGAAGGACATCAGCTCGCTGGAGCATCCCAAGGTTGTTACGAAAGATTTTGGTATTCAACTCCCAAAAGGTTCAACAGACCTGAATGATAAGTTGGTTCGAACACCAATGGATGAAGAGTTACATATCGCAGTCGACGGAACCCGCGGAGGGTCGCTCGATGATTTCTTGGGTATTCGTTTCAAAGTGTTCGACAGCAAGTCTGGGAGGTTTGAATTGTGCTTTTGCAGACCAGTTTAAACTTTACAACTTGCAGAGTTTTTCCAATGGGAGAAAATTCGGTTTTTGCTCCATTCCATGAGCACTTGAAGCATCTTAAGGAGATCAAGACTGGTGCAGTCCTTCCGATATGGAGGATGTGAAGGAAGACCGTTTTCAGCTGATCGTGAAGCAGATTATGGAACGCTCGAGGAGAGGCTGGCGAAAAGAACGAATCTGCCGATCGCTCTAGATGGAGATGACAGGAGGGAACACCAGGTAACTTTCAGCAGGTCGACGGGAATTTCATTGTTTGATGCTTCCTTGCACAGAGTGTAAAGGTGTCAGCTTCTCATGCGCAGCCGCAAAGTGAGAATTCCGAGAGCATCTCAGCGAAGTCTCTATCTCGGGTCAATCAGTGGGTCGACGGTTTGCATCATTCCCAGACTCCTCATTCGACAACAACAAATTCGGATAAGATGAGCGACGAGAATTCGTCTCAGGCGATGGCTGAGCCCGACACGAGGATCTATGAGAGCATGTTCGAATGTCTTGACAAGGATGGTAAGACGATTCAAGCTAGGCTGATAGCCCTTAAGGAAACCGACGATGAGCGAGAGATTGTTCGTATCAAAGTGATTCCGACAGGGAAAGATATCAAGCCAATCGCTATGCACTGGAGCGTCGGATATGAGAGGCCAGGCATGTTCTTTTCCCTTCCCCTCTGTTCTTTTTCAACTCACTTCCTGTTCTCTTGACCAATCATCGCTTACTCTAATACCATCATCTTCCTTGTTGTCCTTTCACATCTCATTTTGCTATTTTTCTTCTCACTTCTCTTTTGCGCTCTGGTCTGACTCCCATGAATCTGAACAGGCGATTGGAAATTACCACGAGACTACATGATTCCTTCTCAATCAAACGTTCTCAACAACGCCGTCCAGACGAACTTTGATAGTACCGGAGTGGACGACAAAGGAGTGCCAATCTACGAGATCAAACTAGTGATTGCTGACATGAATCATGCAAGCGAGAACTCAGCGCTACCGATCGCTATCAACTTCGTGCTGAAGGATGCAGTGGAAAACAGATGGTACAAGACAGCTGGAGGGAGTGACTTTCACGTGCCGTTGACGAGGTTCGAGAGGGGTCACAAGGGCATGACAGACTTCGAGGCTGATGTTGGCAACGACTCGCTTATGATCATGCCCATCCTCGAGTTTGAAAGCCGAGGGGGCCTGAGCCTGATGGAGCGATTCAGGACAGCACGGGATATGATCACCTCTTCGCAAAGCAGGGAGATGCTGCGACATTTGTTTGTTTGGCTCAGATTCTCCCAAACCAGACAGCTCTCATGGCAAAGGAGGCACAACACAAAGCCTAGAGAGCTTGCCGATGAAATCCAAATCCTGTCGGAGGTGGTAGCCAAATACTGGAAGTCCTCACAGTCAGCGTCTGATCGCGATATTCTTCGTATGATGCTGTCTACCATCCCAAGAGGAGGAGGCGACGGACAGAGGATCCGAGATGAGATCCTGGTGATCATGAGGAAGTTCGAGATCAAGAAGAGGAAGGGAACGTGGATGGAGGAATGGCATCAAAAGTTGCACAACAACTGCACTCCTGATGACATCTACATCTGCGAGGCTTACATCAAATTCTTGCAATCTAATGGAGATCTCAAAGCATTCTACAGTCACCTCAGCAAATTTGGGCTTGACAAGCAGCGATTGCAAACATTTGAGAGGCCCATTCTACAAGATCCGATCTTCTTTCCTTCCATCAAGGTACGTCCAAGAAATTCTTCCCTTCTTCTCAAAGTTCATCTCATTACTCCTTTCTTGGCCTCCTCTAAATCTTGAACCTGATCTTCACTAACATCTTCCCTTAATGCGTAGAATGGATTGATCAACGAGCTCAGCAACTACCTCCAAATCCTCAAATCCGTTCACGCAGGAGCTGATCTCGAGCACTCGCATGATCTCTGCAGAGGTTTCCTCCCCGGGAATCTCAACGCTCTTGTGGAGGCAGTGAAGGTGGAGAGGACCCATCCTTCTCCTGCCTACCAGGAGACTTTCACCTCCTTCTTCAACTCCGTTGCTGCTCGCCGATTGCTCTGGGAATCAATTCTTCATGAGCAGCATGTTCCCAAGGTGCGCGACCTGCTCTACCTCGACATCGCTCTACAGGATCAGAGCAGGATGATGGTGGAGGGAGTTCTCTCAAGTATGCAAGTCAAGGACTTGGCACTTTGGCTGCTGCTCTCGCTTGAGTCCCTCTGCTACACGCTCTTCTTCTCCTCAAACATGAGGAGCCTGTTTCTACGACGAGCGTCGAGCTCGGTGGACGAGGACCTTGACTCTTCCCTGCTTTCCCTGACCTCAGAGCTCGTCGAGATTCTTCGTGACTGGAGCAGTCTCCTCCAGACGGTGGGGATCAACATGGAGGAGTGGAAGAGCAAATCTCACCGGCATGCGCTGCTTGCCGCAGCGTATCTCGATCGCCTGGAGAGGATGCTGAGCCAGCTGGCCGACCGCTGTCACCGCCTATTCCAGCCCATAGCCGAGCAGCTGGGTGGAAGCATAAGGAGAAGAAACCCGGACAAGACCCCCGAGACCTGGAACATCGCCATGTTCACTGAGGGAGTGGTGCGAGGAGGAGTCGGGTTCGCCGTTTCTCTCATCCATCAGAAGGCTGTTCAGGCCTTCCGCAGGTCAGGAGTGCTGCCGTCATGGCAGGTCATCTCGCCTGGAAGCAGGAGGGCTAGAGGAGTTGTCATGATCGCCGATGTCAAGGACGTGCAGTTCAAGAGCTTTGACTGCCCGACAGTCCTCTTGTCAAGTCGAGTAAGCGGAGAGGAAGAGATACCCGAGGGAGTGGTGGCGGTTATAACGCAGGACTCTCCTGACGTCCTGTCACACATAGCTGTGAGGGCGAGGAACACCCACGTGATGTTCGCGTCCTGCTTCGACCTGGCATCCTTCCATCAGTTCCTCGACTTCGATGGGAAGGATGTTGTCTGTCAGGTGCTGGAGCAGCGGGTCTCGATCGAGATGGCAGAAGGAGCGATGGATGACATGGTGGACTCGCATACATCACATGGTTCCTCTCGACGGATGGAGGAGGAGGAGGAAGAGCGCTCGACACCTCCGTCCAAGTTCGTCTACCTCGAATCAGAGATTCTTGAGGAGGGCAAGAAGGTTGCAGGAGGCAAGACCATGAACTTGCTCAACGTAAGGAGGAGGCTGCCAGACTGGATCAAGACACCGAAATCAGCTTTGATACCCTTTGGGGTCTTCCAGTACGTCTTGCAGCATCAGGATAACAGGGACAGTCAGCGCAAGTACGCGGAGATTGTGAAGCAGCTGGGGGTTCTCGATGCGGAGGACATCCCAAGTAAGCTGCAAGACATCAAGAACATCATCCTCGATCTCAAGGTGCCCGACGAGGTCAGAGCCGACATAGCTCGCAGCCTTCAAGATGGAGTCTTCAGGCAGGTCGTCGTCGACGAGCAAGAGTCGCTAGACTGTATCAAAAGGGTCTGGTCGTCAGTGTGGAACGAGCGAGCTTTTCTCTCTTGTAAGAAGGCCGGGATCTCCAACGAGAGGATCAGAATGGCTGTCCTGCTCCAGCAGATCGTCGAGGCTGAGTATGCGTTCGTTGTCCACACGGTCAACCCGCTCAACCTGGACCCTTCAGAGATCTACATCGAGATCGCAAAGGGCCATGGCGAGGCTATCGTCGGCAACTTCCCAGGACGCTCCCTCAGTGTTGTGTGCAGAAGGGGAAGCCATGAGGTCCTGAGGATAGAGAGCATGCCTAGCAAGAGCGTCATGCTGCGAGCAAGAGGACTCGTCTTCCGCTCTGATTCAGACGCGGAGGACCTTCATGACTTCGCTGGCGCCGGGCTCTTCGACAGCGTGCCCCTGGTCGACTACGAGCGCGAGATCATCGGGTACAGGAAGGATCCGATCATTCAGACGACTAGCGAGCTGGACAAGTTGGTGATGAACATCTGCAAGCTGGCAGAGGAGGTGGAGGGGGCGATGGGAGGAAAGCCGCAGGACATCGAGGGATGCTGGTCGGGAGGGTCCCCGTACGTCGTGCAGTCTCGTCCTCAGGTGAAGAGGATACGTTCACTTCATGATCTGATGTTGCCGCGTTCCAGGTCGGGGTTTGAACGAGAACGAGGATTCGAATGCGAAGAGTGTGGATACGTGTAATCATAGGAAAAACAGTCATAATCTATTCTGTTTGTATTCCTCTAACTTGTCCACTGTCTCACCCTCGATCTATTCCTTACAGAAGTGTACCTATTGATGATAATCTTTCCTTCCTCTTGCTTACAAGTTACCTCATGATTCTGAACGTCTCATAGGGACCACCTTTGGACGTTTCAGGGTCATTTGATTTTTCTTTTCTTCCATCTGCTCAACTCATGCTGCTCAAACCGCTCTGCTCTGCTCTGCTCTGCTCTGCCCTGCCCTGCCCTGCTCTGCCCTGCTCTGCCCTGCCCTGCTCTGCCCTGCCCTGCTCTGCCCTGCCCTGCCCTGCCCTGCCCTGCTCTGCCCTGCTCTGCCCTGCTCTGCCCTGCTCTGCCCTGCTCTGCCCTGCTCTGCTCTGCTCTGCTCTGCTCTGCTCTGCTCTGCTCTGCTCTGCTCTGCTCTGCTCTGCTCCTCCTCCCAGCCCCTCCCTTGCTTCCTTCCTCCCTCGTTACACTGCTGGAATTTCTCCCAAGGTTGTCAACTTCTCAGACATTTGACCGCACATTTGGAGGGGTGGGGGTACTTGAGTAGGGGTATTCTGTAAGTATAATGGTGGGGTATCTTCAGGACCTTGTAGGGGTAGTCCAACTGGTCGTTATCGAATGCAGGCGCTTGACTGGGGAAGAGGAGGATTGCGGGAATGGGGAGCAGAGAGAGGAGGAGGAGGAGGAGGAGGAGGATCCGTAGGAGAGGTTCCAGTCAGACCTCCTGCGCTAGGGGGAGTGATGGAACCTCTGCGAAGTTCGACGACCAGGAAGGAGGACTGGAGGAGGTCGGAGGCTTCACTTGTCCAGATAGGAAGCGACACTGGGGTGGTCCTGAGCTACGAACCTCCTCCGTCTATGCCGACTCTGATGGACTTGAAGATGCAGCTGCAGCAGGCGAAGATGGAGGACATCGAGGGCAAGTTAAATATGCTCCACACGGAGAAGAGCTCAACGCGAGCTCTCGAGGAGAAGGTGCGCAGGTTGGAGCAGGAGAATCAGGCGCTGAAGAAGAAGAGGTCTGGAAGATGGAGGATCGACGATGAGAAGCTGATGGCTAAGATTCAAGCCAAGGTCGCAGCTGTTCAAAGTCAACGCGATGCAGCCATAGCCACAGCGAACGCGTCCTCGGATCAGGTTCGGCTCCTACGGAACAAGAATGCCGAACTTCAATATGAGGTGGACAGGCTAAATCTCGAGATCTCGAGGATGAAGTCGAACAAGGCGCAGCATGACCAGCCGGACCGGCTGGAGATTCTCCTGCAAGAGAATCAGAAGCTTAGAGAGGAGCAGCAGCGAATGAGCGAGCACATGGGTAGCCTGATCAACGCCATTCATTCCTCGACGAAGCATAGGTGCGTCAGTGTGCCTGGACCTTCTCTGCGAGCCTTGACATGCTTCTTTTACGATGTCTCCAGGACCAACACGCATGCGAGGTCCCCTCCCGACGACATGGAGGAGACACTTCGCAAGGAGCTGGAGAGGGCGGAGGCTGAGGTGCAGACCCTGCTGGGGAGCAACAACAACCTGGAGAAGCGAATGATGCAGTTGGAGGCGGAGAGGGAAAACGCTTCGCAGACGTCAGACCAGGCGAAGATGTATGCGCTGAAGCAAGCTTTCGATGTCGAGCTGCAAGAAAAAAATCGGATCATTGACGACAAGAGGAAGGAGGATGGTGCCGTCAGTCAGCGGGTCAGGATGCTGGAGAGGACGCTGGAGGAGTTGAGCAGCGCGATGGAGGAGCTGCATGCTGTGATGAGAGGGGGGGGCTCTTTGAACGGTCGGGAGGAGAAGGCGAGGGAGCGCAAGAATTCAATCCCTGCAAGTGATGAGGAGCAGAGGCTTTGGATGAAGATGAATGAGAAGTACGAGCTGAACAGAGTGAGCCCGGAAGTGGAGGGAGATAGCAGGGGTCAGGCTATCTCTCGCGCTCGTCATGTGAGACGAGCAGATGATGGAATCTTGGATGTTTGATTCCTTGCGATCAGATAAAGACAGGAGGGAGCGACCGCGATGTCGTGAAGTTGGAGGTAAAGGAGCAAAAACCTCTCGATGGTGTAATGTTTTGACTTCTCTTTCATCACAGAAAGAGCTTTCGAGAACTACACGAAGTTTGGCTTGCCAGTTGTTTTTTTTTTTTTTTGAGGATTGATCATGTTTTGCAGATGAGCTCCTGTTGAAAAAGGAACTTGAGTTGTCAAGGTCGAGCAAAGTAGAGCATTCTCTTTCAACTCTTGTTTTTACGTCTCCTGCAAAGTTTTGTTCTCCTCCTTCTCCCTTCTCCTTCCTGCCATGCTGTATCTTATCTCATTTGCCAGGATTCTGTCTTAAAGTCTATCAAGTACCTTCACTTTGCGTGCAAAGAACACATTTTCCCCGTCTCAGCCGTCATGGAGTTTGAGGTACAAAGTTTATCTTGCTCACGATGCCAGATGTGATATCACATGTACTTGCTGTTCTGCTGTTATGTCACATCGACCATCATCTCAAACATCACTTGCACGGGGACGTGATGATTCGTTTGATCATCATGACATGGATCAATCTCAATCATCTTCATCCACAGATCCCCCAAGATGTCGACGACGACTACAGGATCAACATGAAATATCTTCTCCACCGAGGTCTTACAATCACAAATCTGACGTCCCTCACTCGCCTCCTCCAGACCTCTGTGCCGCCCTAGGGCTGGAGCTGTACACAGCCCTTCACGTCGCCTACATCATCGCAGTGGACGACGAAATCTCCTCCTCCTTCGACGACTACGAGATCTCAAGGAGATACGAAGCTGGGATCACGTTCCTGCCTGTCATCAGCAGGTACTCTCGGTTCATCGAGGACGATGCACAGATCGCGCACCATAAGGTCGAGCACAACGAGACTGACAGGGAGGAGTTTCCGACGCACTGGGTGATAGCAGAGATCTCTGCCTCTCCTCCTCGCACCCCGCTGAGCAAGTCTGAAAGGCGTCGATGCTCCAAGACCTGTACGACAAGAGGGCGGATCAGTTGTTCAAGGTGGTTGTCCTTGCTTGTTATGCTGGGTTGTGATGTTCTTTCCCAGGGAGAGCTGACGACGTTCCTGTTCGACATGAAGATTTTCTCACATAGCATCAACACAAACCTCCCCGAAGAGGTGAGATGAAAGCGTTTGCTGTCGGATTGTTGTGTCATGCGATCCTCTTGGATTCTTGTTGCAATCTGATCACGTCCTTTCTTTTCTTTCAGATCAAAGATCTCATGAGTGGAGAAGGTGAAGCAAAACTTTTGACATGTTTGCTTGAGATGATTTCCTGCAACAGCTGAGAAAGATGACATGATAGAAATCTCAAAGTCGAAGTTGGAGAATGTTCTTCTAGATGCTCAGGTTCAATGTCATGCCCTTTTGTTGTAAATTTTCTTCTCTTGTCGTTTGTATTTTTCTCCTTCCTTTGTGATGTTTTCCTCCTTGCTCCTTGCTCCTTTCTTACCCCATCGCTGGTTTGTGCACATCCTGATTGAATCCTCCGACATTCCAGTTTGAGATCGAGCGAGCAAAGAGCAGCGAGAAGGACGCAGGTATTACAGCTGATCCTCCTCCTCCTACTACTACTACTCCACCATCACCTCCTCCTCCTCCTCCTCCTCCTCCTACTACTACTACTACTCCACCATCACCTCCTCCTCCTCCTACACCACCACCATCTCCTCCACCACCATCACCACCACCATCACCACCACCATCACCACCACCACCACCACCACCATCACCACTTCC